CTGAGTAATTTCATACTCTACACAAACCAAATTAATTACTTAGGACTGGTTTATAATGTCCACATTGTGTTTTTAAAAGAATACTATTGAAGGGACCTCTGACAAGTAAAGTAGTTTATGGTAATTAATTTCAATATGAGAATGAAGCTAATTCAGTAAAACATTGTTAACTCTGATCTGGCAAACCACTGGTATCCATCTGTCTAATCCTTCTTGTGTTTGAAAGTTGCATTTTTTAAAAACAATTATTAATAGTGCTCATTAGCTGCCAAGAAAAAGAGCATGCCACAAACTTCTGAAAACACCAGCAAATACTACTCGCTTTTCCAAGTTTGAGCTAGAACCTGCTGCAGGAGCTCATGGTCAGGGCAAGTTTTTCTACTGGAGTCTGCAGAGATGGGAGAGTATAAAGGATGGGCTCTTTCTCTAAAGGAAGTGCAACCCCCTGCAGATTCCCGCTGTCTCCCTACAGCCCTTCAGCACCTCCCCACCAGACAAGCTATTCCAGCACTGCACTATCCCTACTGTTAGGAAGGGTTTTTTAATGTCTAAAGTGAATTTTCCTTGGTGCAATTTAAGCCCATTACTCCTAGTTGTGTTAATGCTCATGGAACACAGTTTACTCTGCTCCTCCATGCAGCAGCTCTTTATGTGCTTGCAGGCTGCTGTTATGACCCCACTCAGTCTGCTCTTCTCAAAGCTAAACAATTTGTCCAACATGTATAAGGGCTGATTTTTAAAAGTGTTGAGCTCCTGCTGTTCCTGTTGCTTTTATTCTGGTGATTGAGAGTGAAAGAACTTCCCTAGAGTTGATGATCAAGCGGTATTGTCTGGTGCCCTTCAAATACTGATAGGTATGAAGGGCACAAAGGTGTTTATAGCTGTATATGTGCATTCTTGTCTTCACAATAAAAGTGTATTTACAGGACCTGTGACCAGCCTTCTGACTGCATCCCCAGGGCAAGAGCAACTTCACAAGAAAAGCAGGTTTTAGTGGAAACTTGCCTGCCTTATGTGCCGGGCTTTGCTGAATCATTTGTACTAAAGCATTTTCTGTATTTCATGCAACACATATCTTGCTCCATGGGTTTTTTTAAATTTAAATTATTTTTATGGCTACAGTAAAAACACTGTTCATGATTCTATGTTAACTATTTACAGTTGCTGGAAAATATATCCTTGGAAGAGTGAACTGAAATCCTTTTCCATCCCAAAACAGAAGAGTGAGGTTTCCTTCCTGTAATAGGCTTCTCTTCAGAAGAAATGATGATTTTTGTGCTTATAGTACTGGAGCAGATTTCCACTTGGAAGACTGTTTTTATAGTGAATGCACTACAAAATATGATGCTATCATCTTGCCATAGTGTTCCAGGGCATCTAAAGATAAATTCCACTACACCTGCTCTTTGTCTCTCAATTTCCATTGAAAAAAATGCTTTCTTTGTGTCCATGTAGGCCTTTATGAAACCTCTTCTTCACGGCATCAGAGACTTTGGGTGCAACTTTAATGCCAGCAATAATACCTCCATGTATTACTTCTCATAAACGTAGAGTTATATCGTCTGCAATTCTGTAGAAAAGAGTTTTTGTAATGTCTTTTTTTTTTCTGTTTAAACTGTCTTTCCTAACTTTAAAAAATAAATTCCACAGACAACTACAGAGAACATTTACAATTATAAAGTAAAAATAGCTGATCTAGTTTTGGGCTACCTGTCATTGCTTCTTTTTGGGGGAGAAAAAAAAAAAGAAGAAAAAGAAAAAAAAAGAGCAAAGTCATGGAAGGAAAAGAGAGTGAGAGAAGCTTTTGTGATATTTCTCTCTATGATTTTTTCAAATCCAACTTTGTCCTTTATTCTTATTTATAAGATTTCATCAAACTTCTGGAAACAAGGCTAATTATGATGGGCACTAACCTACACAGGGACCATAAAGTATGACTACACAAGTCTCCTAATCTTGACAATTAACACTGAATTTCACTATTGGTAATAAAGCTGAAGTGTCTCATGGTCTATACAGCAACAGGCAATAATGAGCAAAAAATGGAAATGCACAATAATACCAATAATTTTAAACCTAACCTGACTATTTCCTTGTAAACACCTTCAATAATTATTCTGTCATTTATCTTTTCCTCCTTTGCTGGGTCAATAATTCATCTGTACAGTGTGTATACTACAGCTTTTCTCTCTTTACAGAGCTCACTCAAAACCCTGCCCTCCTCCCAGACACACGCTAAATGTTCCCTTGCTTAGCCATTGGATTGACATATTGAATTATAATCTTTATCACTGGTATTGATAGAGTATATTCTGTTATTAGGACCTGCCTGTGTTTGGTTGACATAAACCCATCCATCGCTGCTCCAAGCAAGCAGCAAATTTTACATCCTGGTTTCTCTGCCACTCAAAGTGAAGTCACAGCAAGGGCTCTGGGAACAAGTGGAAAACAGTACCAACAAAAGCTTGAGATGGTTGAAGGGTCCCTTAAGACAAAATAAAAATGAAATTGATGAATTTTAAATCTACATTGCAAATTTCACCTATCAATTACACAAACTTAAATAATAAAATATCCCTTTACCTAGCAATAGTATAGTATAAAACTAAATGGATTTGCATTTTGATTAGTGGCAGGAGTAAGCATTAGTCACTGCAGCAAGAAAGCATTTCCATGTTGCTTGGTTAATGAATTAACTCTCTATGAGAAGTGAGAATATTTTCTCAGCAAACAAGATTTAGGTTTGTGTGTGACATCAGTGTCCTGAGGGTTAATCCTGAAGGTCTGACAGCTGTCAGCAGTCAGGCACAGGTGCAGTACACACACTTTAGGATCTCAGTACCCAGACACAACAGTCACTGCTGGTACTACAGCCAAGGGCTGCCCTGATCCTGAGTCTATCATCTGAAGCATTTCCCTTACCAAATGCAGCCTTTGGATTAGGTCCCAAAAGCCTACGCTCTTTTCACTTCAATCAAAGAAACCAGCTGAGGAAGTCAGGAGTGAATACCAGCCTTTATCAGGATCACAACCCCACAGTCTCACACACAGTGAGATGTCGTACAGAGACACCACATTTCTCAGTGAGCAATGCCTTAGCAAAAAAGCGTCAAAGAATTCACTTAGAAAGATCTTCTGGCTATAGCATTCATAAATAGCCTCATTCTTTTGGTTCCTGCCATCACTGCAATCCTGTAATGAAATTGCAATTGAAGGAGGCTAATTTGTGCTCTAATTATATATTAGTCTGGGCTGAAAGGTTTCTGGACGGAAAAAGGTTTTCTTCAGGCAATCTTTTATTCTGCTTATTGTATTTACTTAACAAAGAGCAGTCAGCTTTTACAGTGAATTCTTGTAATAGAGTTGAGCTGTAATGTTACCCAGCCAAGGGCAAATATATGCAGTCATTTTTGATGGGTTCTGATAATAGTCTTTAACAAAAACAAGGATTGTTTGCAAATGTAGGAAGAGCCAGGCCAAAAAGCTAACTGATGGGCTGCTGAAAAAGTTTAAAGAGCTCTTCAGCTGGAATACCTTCTAGACCAGTGAGACTTTAGCAGACAGTAGTTTGAGGAAATTCAGAGAAATATTTTGTCAATGATAAAGAAATTTCCCATGGAAACATATTTCTTGTATCACTTGAAAGAATACATTCTTCGTCTGATTTTCATGCTTCTGCCACAAGATGAGAGGCCAACATTGTTCACAATGTGCAGGATGCAGAGCGTTTTCACTGTGGAAATAGGTGAGTCTCAGCCGCCTATTTCCTCAGCCATAGTTGAGGCTTTCTAAGCAGAGAAGTACTTTAGGATAGCAACAAAGTTCTTCAAAGCTGTGGATCACCTTTGTTAGCTGTGTTTCTGTTTCTTCTGTCAAGTAGACTCTCTGCTATTGTTGGTCCTTAATAAAGTCTCCGTAGTGTGTCGGAAGGAATTCAGCCTAAACAAAAAAAAAGTTCAGCTAAACAAACTAGTTATCAAAGGAAATAAAACCCTTAAATATATATCTGTTTCTAGCTTTTGTGTTAACTTCAGCTTTTCCCTATAGATAAATCCTGAGCCAAATATTAACCTAGTATAAGTCAGTATGAGTTCTCATTTTGCTGAATCTGCCCTGGCCTCTAATTCAGTCTGATCATGGCATTGGAAGTAAATGTCTCTGCCATACACTGTCTGCAGGATAAACAGAAACTGCAGTTAAAAGCACTTAATATCAATCCACAAGAGGGATTTCAAATAGTGTTCTTGCTGAGTGAACAATAGCTTTCTGGGCACACCATAAGGGTTTACCAAAGATCATATCAAAAACTGGTAGAATTACAAGCCATGGAAGTCTTTTGTGCCATCCATCACTGAGTTTTCTCTTAAGAATTCTGGTTCAGCCTCCACTGGGGAGGGGAAACAAGTGAAGTAGATGATCCCATCCATTAGAGCAGAGCTCATGTCCCTTCTCCCAGGGCTGACTGCCTCCCCATTCCCAGCTGGACCAGTTCAAGCACCCCGTACTCTGCAGTCCTGGGGCACCACTGCTGGGAAGCACAGTCAAGAAACACTACATGGGGTCAGAAACCAGGAGGAATGTGTTTGCATGTGCCAGCTGTAATAAATGCATGGAGGTTCAGTAAACTGGTATGGTAGAGTCACAGAATGTGCTGAGCTGGAAGGGGTCCATAAGGATCGAGTCCAACCCCAGCCCTGCACAGCACCATCCCCAAGAGTCACATCAAGTGCTTGAGAGCATTGTCCAAACACTTCTGGCACTCTGTCAGGCTGGTGCTGTGACCACTGCCCTGGGTCAGTGCCCAGATACCTTCTGGGGGAAGAACCTTTTTCTAATATCCAACCTAAACCTGCCCTGACACAAGTTCAGGCCATTCCTTCAGGTCCTAAAACCAAACAGACTTACCAAGACGTTTTGACCTGAGAAAAAATATGAAGTAGATGTGAATGCATTGACTAAGTACTGATTTTATACGTATCTTTTCTTCTGTTTTCTTCTAGAAAAACTAAGCATACTGTCAACCTTCATAGCACCGTTCAAGTACCTGAGCCCTGGCCCGACCACCATGGAGGATGAAGACAATTTAAGTAAGCAGTCTCTTTTCTTTATAGACAAACAATAAAGTTCAAAAATAAAATCTCTGCAGTGAAGGAGCAATTGTGGAAAGGAGGTGGTTGTGCAACTATTGGCTAGTCCTCGTGTGAAATCACAGAAGGGAGCTGGCAGGGAGCCACAAGGATCATCAGGTCCAGTTCCTGGCCCTGCACAGAACCATCAAATTGAGAATTGATTAAACATGTTTTAAAAAAACAGTTATAACCTAAAAATTAACCACTCTTGGCTAATTAGTATTTTCTTGGGCCTTTACACCTCAACCAACTGTTTAAGCCCATGGCTGTACAGCTGGGGGAATTAACAACCCTCAGTAAGCCCTTCCATTTGTCACCTAGAAGCAATCGTTGTGTGTTGTCCTGCCTGCTTATTGTAACAAAACTTGAATGTTAAAAAAAAAAAAAAAAAAAAAAGGAATCTTTCTGAATAAAACTTGAATCTTAAAAAAAAAAAATAAATAAATAAATAAATAAATAAAAATAAAATTAGAAAAAAAAAAAGGAATCTTTCTGAACCAAATGAGCAATGTTTTAGTATCACCTCCCAGATTAGTTTTTTTTCCAGCCAGACACATGCTACCATGTTGTCCTATTAAAGCCACCTAGTGGGAGGAATTTGGTGTTTTCCCCTTGTTGCTGCTGATCTGCCTTGGTTTGGTCATGGTGCACACCACGGGGAGGAGCTGCTGGCGGAGAGAAGCACAGCCTGCTATTTTCTGCTGCTGAGCATCACATGGACATCACACTACAGCGAAAGCAGGCAATTACAGATCTTAGCAAAGGCAAAAAAAAATCCTGAAAATCCTTCAGAATTGCTCCCAGGAAGGCTGTATTTTCAGGAAGACGTGTGAGAAGTATACACACACACACACACACAGAGGAAACATATCCTGCACACCATGAGCTTGTGCAGGCGCCTCCTGCGTAATAGTTCCCAAATGTGCTACTTAGTTATTTTTAGGTAATGTAGGAAGTTTGTACAAGCCAAACACTGTAACACCATTTTCTTGTTGCTACTGTAACACCAAGACAGCTTCATGCCTGCGTGGGTTGTAAAACAGCTCACATGGACAGGGTAAGCTACGTTTTCTGAAAGAGAAACAGCAAATGTCACTGTTTTCAGGGTCATCCTACCCAGTTCTCCCTTTGGTCAAACATATGCTCCAGTGAAAAGGCAGCTATGTATTTCTTGGTACACAGACGGTGCTTTAGGTGTTACTATTCGAATCTTTAAATATTTTTTTTAAATATGAATTAATTTAAATTCATCCATATTTCTGTGTTCACTTGCAGTATAGTGGCCTAAATCCCACTAAAGCCTATAGCACACATGTACCTCTGGAGTAATTCCATATTTTAAAGAGCTTCAGAGATTTGCTCTGAACAAGTGGAAAAAAATCCTGAAAATCCTTCAGAATTGCTCCCAGGAAGGCTGTATTTTCAGGAAGACATGTGAGAAGTATACACACACACACACAGAGGAAACATATCCTGCACACCATGAGCTTGTGCAGGCGCCTCCTGCGTAATAGTTCCCAAATGTGCTACTTAGTTATTTTTAGGTAATGTAGGAAGTTTGTACAAGCCAAACACTGTAACACCATTTTCTTGTTGCTACTGTAACACCAAGACAGCTTCATGCCTGCGTGGGTTGTAAAACAGCTCACATGGACAGGGTAAGCTACGTTTTCTGAAAGAGAAACAGCAAATGTCACTGTTTTCAGGGTCATCCTACCCAGTTCTCCCTTTGGTCAAACATATGCTCCAGTGAAAAGGCAGCTATGTATTTCTTGGTACACAGACGGTGCTTTAGGTGTTACTATTCGAATCTTTAAATATTTTTTTTAAATATGAATTAATTTAAATTCATCCATATTTCTGTGTTCACTTGCAGTATAGTGGCCTAAATCCCACTAAAGCCTATAGCACACATGTACCTCTGGAGTAATTCCATATTTTAAAGAGCTTCAGAGATTTGCTCTGAACAAGTGGAGAAATCTTCTCCTGTGTTAACAATTTAACAAGGGCCCAGGAGAATGCTGGCAAGGTAGAGAAGCAGGTTGCTTATCCCTGTAGTTTTCTGCTCACTGAGCATCCTGTGGGAGCACTGCTTCCTGACTGTGCTGTATCAATGGGCAGAGTTCCACCAGCTGAAATGGATACAAATCCCGTTTCACATTCCCTTAGGCCTTCTTTACAAAGGGAGCCATGCAGTTTAACTACACCTGCATTCTCAACAGGTGATTATTAGCATACAGACATGATTTTTGTGGTCTATAATCAATGAACTAATACTAGAAAAACCTATCAAAGGCACGATGCACCTTTGGAATGGAATTGTGGGTAATCATCTGTCTCTGATGAAGGTTTAATCTTGAACATGGAAGGAAAGGAACACCCTATTCATCCCCAGAAGGCAGTTGTTCCTAAGAATGTAAGAAATATCACAGAGGATTAGAAGTAGGAAGCCTAGCTCTGTACATGGTCTTCAGCATTTGTTAATGATTCTTTGAGAAAAAGGACATTTAAATGGGGATCTTTCCCTTGGTATATCCTTCTAGCCCCTAGCAAAAATTTACTCTGCTAGAGCTTGCGCCTGAATCATCATATTTCTTAGGCATCAACAGAACTTTCTAGTCCTCTCCAGAGCCCACTGATAGTTCTGATCTCAACAACAGCCAGGAACAAGGAGTGATGTAGAATGCTGTCAAAAAGTGCACCCTTTTATTGCTTCAGACCTGCTGTCTCTAGTGCTGGGATTGCATGAAACAGCAAATAATCATTGCCTGTTCACTGCTTAAACCTGTCCTCCTTTCATGAGGTTACAAGCCTATGCCTGTCCCTGATCTTTAAATGTGCCATCCCCACTTTGCCACGGGATCAAGGCAGATTGTCACCAGCCACAGGTACTTTTGAATCCAGATTGTACCTCTAGCAGGAGCACATGATTCCTGGGAATCTCATTATGGAGTGCTGCCACGGGCACAGGCTCAGGGCAGCACACACCTCCCCAGTGTCTGCAGAGGGAGCTGATGGTCCCCAAGACGCTGATTTCAACCACTGCAGCAGTCTGGAAGGTCACATTCCAGACTCAGAGTCGATGTACTGAAGCATGTTGGTCAAATTCCTCACAAGACAGCAGGAGGCCCCAAGCTTTTGTTTCCACAGTGTGGGATACAGCCCCATACTGTGAGACAGATAACCCTGTCTCTAAGAAAATAGTGAATAACCTGTTTCAGGAGGCAGAGCTCCAAGCAATCCCTCACCAAAACTATTTCCTTATTTTTGTTTTTAAAACTGTGTCTATTGCTATCATTTGGATTTCTCCAGGCCCTAAAATATTCTGGTTCTGATTCGGGAAGGCATGTCCTTAAGTTTGTCCCTGCCATGGGCTGCCCATATTTTCTGTAACATGCCATTCTTTGCTAACTTGGGCAGACAGCACCAGAATTTGAGTATCAGTCTAAGTCAGGTCATTAGATTATTTGAATAATTCCCCTCATTGGTAAGATCTGTAGTGGACACGGATTTCACAGTTATTTCAGACAGTTAGGTGGGCAAAGCAGAGTATGTTCATTCTGGAACAGCTAAAGACAATGGCAGTCACCTTTCACAAACTGTTTATCTTCACTTTAAGCAAAGTCCTGTACTTTTTTCACTGGTAATGCTTCTCTCTGCAGTGTGGTGTTACACACCAACAAAATCTAATGACACTGGTTTTAACCACCTGAGCCCTGTGAGCCACCAGAGAGTGTTCAACAGCAACAGAGAAATCATGGCTTGCCTAGGCTTTTTACATGAAGATTTAAAAATACATAAGTGTGTTTTCATGTGAGAGAGAAAATAGTGATTTCCTTTGTTAGCTTCAAGTTTATCATTCCAAAGTCAAGAATATCAACCTAAAAATCCCGGCAGAAACGTTCCCAATTCTTGGCTGGGGAATCAATAAGTGTATGGAAACGCCAACTTGCTTGCAAGAGGAGACTGCCCTACACTGCATTTGATGTCAGAGCTGGCCTTGGACAGAGGTACCATGGCTCTGGCTCCTGGGTTCATACCTACTGCTTCTGATTCAAGATTTTTTGCTTTCAAGTATTCCAGGAATTATGGAAGTCAATCCTCCTAACATCTGTAGTCAATGTGATATAGATAAATAGCGAGCAAAAATAATCCATGCTTACTAAACATTTCTAAAGACAGTAACTACTTGTCTCAGAGCTATCAGTTGAATCAAGAGTTGGCTATAATGCAGATACTGAAAATTCTTTCTTTTAATATCACAACTTTTCAATAATGTAGTGTCTATTGTAATTCAATAGTAAAGATGCCAGTGAAAATTAAGATGCCACCTACCACCTCTCCTTTCCCATCCTCCCTAGAAGTTGGCTTGGCTGCAGAATAACCTTCAACAGGAACAATATTATCTCTTCAAATGTAGCGTGGAGTATTGGATGGTTAGTCCTGCAGAGCCCTTAAGACCTAGAGACATAGTCAGTGTCATTATTAGTGATGCATTATAGCTCTGAAATGCTCTTGATGATGCAAACTCTCTAGGTTAACTCTACTGTGCATAATGACCAAAAGGAGAAAAACATGAAAGAGCAGTCAGAATATTGAGGAACAGTGCATAAATAAATGTATTTCACTAACTGCTTTCCTTTCTCCCATTCAATTACTGAAGCAAATACAAGATCACAATGTCTCCTGTTGCCTGTGAAACGGTAAAAATCAATTAATCAAGTTACCTGGGGAGATATTACAGTGCAAAGCTGCAGGACTGTTTTAGAAATCTTACTAAATAAATTAGAAACTATTGCCAAAAAACTGTATTTTTCTTCCTCTTTTTTTTTTTTAACTCCATCCCCTTTCAATGTTATTATTCTCCAACCTTTCATCATGGAAGAGCCATAATTTATTATCTTTTTTTTTCCCCAAATGTAAAGAATATATTTGGGAAAGTCAAGAACAAAGACATTATGAGAAATAACAAGACTGAAAATGATCCACAGTTTTGCATTTTCCCTGTGTGTATCCTCTGACTTACCCCTTTCCTTTTAGCGCTCTTCATTTCTAAAATTGCTTGTGATTGTTCTATTACAGCTGCTTACAGTATTTATCTTGTGTAGTTTGGTGTCATTTGCCTGCTTTGTCTGATTTTCACAATAGAAGTACATGTGCCACCATTAGAGAGGTAATCTTATGTCTGCTACACAGAGGTCTCATAAAAGACACATTTCAAAGACTTCCTATTTCAAAGATACCAGAAAGTATAAAGTAATTTCACATTTCCTGGCAGCTGCCAGGGATCACACGAGTCCATCAGGCTCACAGACTTTCTGAGGCACTCACTGAGTTTAGGGTGCCTCTGCTTTACAGACAATGATGACTCTTGGCTGCTGCAGCTCCTACTGAGATCTGGCCAGAACTGAGCTGTTTCCTGGTGTTTCGGGACCAGGTGCTCTAAATCTGGTTGGCTGTAAGGGTACTTGCACAGATTTTCTTCCTTGTGACAAGGCTAAAGCACACCATAAATACAGGCATGGCATCTCTGTGCATGCCCAACTTTGTCCACACATCCTTCGTGCTTCATCTCTGGAAGTTTTACACTTGCATCTCTGCATTTTTTTCACTTCATCAAGGCAAACCATCTGTTGGCCAAAACATGGACTAGACAATTTTATAGACACAATGTAATAGAAATAAGTAATGTTTATTTTGTGGTTTTAGTTAACCATATTTGTATTGAGGGTGGTTAAGGTAAGATGTTAAGGTCACACATTCATGTTCACAAATCCGCAGTTCTTTGACCGTGAAAGAAAAACCACATGGAATAAGACAATATGAATGATAAACACAAATAGCCTCTTGAGTTTTCCTATTCAGTGGTGCATAATCAATACAAATTCTTTTCAAAGCTGAATATTGTGTGAAGCAGGAGCTATCTTTCTTTTCATGCTTCTTGACTACAGTATCATTATGTACCATAATTGGCTCTGTAAAAACCTATTAGGTTAAGATGAGAGAGGAGGTGTGAAATACAGAACCAAACCTGTTTCCTGCTAAAAAAAATATGTCTGTGTCAAAATATTTTTCCTTTACATTACAAAATACACATAACTAAAGAGATATCTTCTGAGTGGGATGAAAACATGAGAAAGGGTCATGACAGAAAATGGCCAGAGACACTGCCAAACTGGATAGAGGACGTTAAAGCTGATATTGCCTTTCCCTTCAGAACAGTCTCTATAAATAGAGTTGTGAACTCAATGAGAATACAGCACATTATCCTTGTGCCTTAGTTATCATGATCTTTTAAATGTCTTATTTCCAGAGAGGCTGGTTTAAAGATGTCATATTTTATACAGCTGAATACCATATGATGAAACTTTTTTTTTCTATTATGTAGGTCTTTTGCTTTTCTTTTCTTCCTCACCTGTCTTCATTCTGTCCCCTTAGCTTCAGAAAGTAAAAATTAACTAGTCACTAAAACCTTAATTTGTCATGTTCTGCCTCAGCAAAGCACTGCAGAAGAGAGCTCTTTGGTGATAACTCTGGTGAGACACAGACCCAGGCTGGAAGCTCAGTGTGTGCTGCAGGGTTTTCAGGTGAGGGAGCCTAAAGACAGTTCTGCAAATGGGCCCCCACACATGGCACTTGTGCCATTATTATTACTTCTGTCTAAGCAAAGGCCCTCTTTCTGTGGAACAGCTTGGATGAGTGCAGACTTAGTGCTCTGATGGGAAAAAGTCTTTTGATATTAAAAACAAGTGTAACATTTCAGGATACAAAGGAAGTTTTTAATCATGATGGCTGGTTGCACATGATCTCCACAGGCTCCTGTGCTTCTGTTGGCCCAGCCTAATACTGGGGTGCAGCACAGACATAGTGCTCCAACAGGAGTTTCTCAAAGCTTAGCCAGAAGCTCACCCCTTACATACTTACCAACTTACATTATCAGATTAGAGAGAAAACCTGGCCATGGGAAAGAAGAGAAATGGCCATGCCCCTACAGAAAGTGGGAGGAGCATTCTCTGTCCCCTAAAGACCACACGGACCTTCTCTGTGCATGGGACTGACACAGTCTGTGCAGGTGGCATGATAGTGTCTGACAATAACAAACCAAACCTGGGAAAGGCTCCATGCCCAGCAGTGCCTGGAGTACAGCAGGCAGCTGCACTGTACTCTGTGCAGGAAAGGGATCAGGTGCATCTCTCCTGGGATGGGTTGCCTTGTAAGTTGGTTACACCCATATTTACTTCCTCCCTTTGTCTCTGTCCCAGGGAATGCACATGAGGAGGATGTGTCAGAGATGCAAGACATTAAAACAACTCATCAGAAATTACAGAAATTTTATAGGATGGTTATTTAGCCAGCAGCACATCTTGTGTCTCATTCAGGACATCAGTGGGATGACTCTCCTTTCTCAGCCATGCCTCTGCTGTGGCACAGAGCACTCACCGCCTTGCAGCACATTGCACAGGAATGGTCCAGGGCAGGGGGGATTCATTGGTTCAACAACAGAGTGCTCCCCACTCCATAGCTCCCCACTGGCATTTCATTCCCTTCCTGAAACTCCTGGCAGTCACTCTCTCTCTCTCCTGTTGCTTTTCTTTGACACAGATCATCCTTTACATCAGTAATTGCTCCCATCATGATGTTCTGGCTTCTCCTGGTCTCATTGGGATTTATCTACAACTTTTGCAATACTAGTTGTTGCTGATGCAGAAACTAAGGGTATCTGCAATTGAGTTTGACAGAAAGGCACTCACTTCCTAAACTGAGATTTGAGTCCAGACCAAATTGTTTCAAATGCTATGAAGGTCTGTCAGATCATTTCCTGGTCTGGATTCATTAAGTTGACAATGCAAGAGGCTATGGTGTGAGCAGAGACAGTCAATGTATTCATTGCAAATAGATTATTCAATGAATTGGCCCATTTTTCTGTTTGTGAATCATTTCTGGTCTCTAATAATGTGTTCATAATCATTCACCCACATGGATTATGGAACAATTGTCATCCTAAGGAAATTTTTCAAACTATTTACTGTCGCTTTGATTTTGTAAGACTTTGTTAAACCTTCTGATGTTTACATTCTTTCAACAAACTTTCTCACACACAGTTCTGTAAATAACCTATGTTTTGCATTCTTTTATGGAGGTGGAGAGAATTAATGGACCCTTGGTCTGTCCAGTGGCATTGGAGAGGTGGCACTGTCACCCTCCAATCCACTGTCACCTTTGGAAAACTATAAATGTTGGAGTCAGAAAATAAAGGTGCTTCTTTTTTGTTCCCCTCGAGAGCAGCAGTGTCTGTGTCATCATTTCGTGCCTTATCACAACAATTTACATTTTACTAGCAATTATCAAGCAGTTCATTTAAGTCACATGGCATCCATTATGCTTCATCTTTGAATGATGTCATCTTTTCTTAAAACAGAAAGCTAATGACTAATAGAAGCAGACCTTTAAGGACAAGTAAACATTCAGAACATGCGAAAAAACTGTGCTAGAAATAATAAACCAACCATTACACAGATATTTAAGGAACACTCCTAAAAAGGGCTTAGCAACTATTTCTTTTTTTTTCTTTTTTGGCTATTCTGACAGCCCTAGGCGTAGTGTCAGCTACGATGATGACAATTGTAATGCAAGTTGTTTCCTTTCTTTACTGACAGGTACCAGCAGTGCAGAAGTAAAGGAAAATCGAAACATTGGCAACTTGGAGGATCATCCAATAGCATCTACTGATAGGGCAAGAGGGGGAACAACTAGCAGTAAGAGGAAAAGACCCTTAGAGGAAGGCAATAATGGCCATTTCTGCAAACTTCAGCTTATCTGGAAGAAAGTTTCATGGTCAGTGACGCCAAAGAACGCTCTGGTTCAGCTACACGAACTCAAACCAGGATTACAATATAAAATGGTGTCCCAGACAGGTCCAGTGCATGCTCCAGTCTTTGCTGTTGCTGTGGAAGTAAACGGACTTACGTTTGAAGGCACAGGCCCCACAAAAAAGAAAGCCAAAATGCGCGCTGCAGAGCTAGCTCTCAAGTCATTTGTTCAGTTCCCCAACGCTTGCCAAGCCCACTTCGCCATGGGAAACTGCATCAGCCCATCCACGGACTTCACTTCCGACCAGGCAGACTTCCCAGACACTCTGTTCAAGGAGTTCGAACCATCCACACACAGCGAGGACTTCTCAGTCTACAAGCCGGTCAATAACGAGCTGCTCTCCACCGCCTACCGGCACGGGCGCCTGCTGTGCCACACGCTGGACCTGATGGGCCACGCCAAGCCGGGCAAGCACAGGATGGCCAAGGCGGAGAGCGAGAAGAACCCGGTGGTGCTGCTCAATGAGCTGCGCTCCGGCCTGCGCTACGTCTGCCTCTCGGAGACGGTGGAGAAGCAGCACATCAAGAGCTTTGTGATGGCCGTGAGAGTGGACGGCAGAACGTTTGAAGGCTCAGGACGTAGCAAGAAGTTGGCCAAGGGGCAAGCGGCGCAGGCGGCCTTGCAGGCCCTCTTTAACATTCGTCTGCCCAGCCACATTCCCAGCAGGAGTAAATGTCACCACTTGCCACAGGTGAGAGCTCCTGGGTAGCTGCCACCACCTTGGAGGAACTCTTTTGATGAGTGGGATTGGTGTTGCTGTAGCTGATGTTGGTCTACCCAGTGTTTCCTCTCATGTTACAGCAGGTGTCGTGCCACAAAACAACCCTTTTCCCTTAGAAAAACCCACAGGCAAAAGCTTGGAAATAGTATCCTGAAATCATTTGGTACAATTTGAAGCTCATTCCATGGGAGGCATAGAGGAGGGGAATATAATATAAGGGGAAATATAATGTAAGAGGAAATATCAACATTTCACTTTGCTACAGACAACAATAATAATGACACAGGCAGAAAACTCAGGTAATTCTGTGGTACTGCATCTTTCTTAACAGAGAAGAGCCCATATATATAGGGATGCTCCATCTCCTCCTTTTAGAGTTAATTTTTGATAAGGACCATGTTACTCAGAGGAGACATCAGTGATAAGGAATGTGCCTGTGTCAGAGAAATTCTGCCACTGGAAAAGTTAAGAAATTTTGTTTCTTATAGTCTTACTATTGGGGTTTTTTTTTTGTTTTGTTGTTGTTTAGTTGGTTTGATTTCAGGGCTTGGTGGTTTTGTTTTGCTTTTTTGTTTTCACATGTGCTTCCAACAGCACAAGATATACTGAAAGTTTTGAAACTTTCCTGAAACAAATCTAGAGTTTACTGCCGTATTCATACAGAAAATAGAGATCTGAGGTGCATGCTTAGCACATGAAAATTTTGTAATTGGTCATACACCAAAGGCCATCTAAGCATTACTCAGACTTGTGTCAATTTTCTAAGTTCACAGGAAGTCAGGATTTGCAGACACAGGAAAACATTACATGGGTTCAAGTAATTTATGGATTTGTTTGCGCTACCAGAAAAGGTTTGATTCATCAGCACCAGGAGGTGATCTACAGCTACAAAGCTCCCTTTATGAAGGGAGCTGTTAATGGCCAGGATTTAATGCAAAGCACTAGGAGCACTAAGAGTCATTCTGCTGTTGGCTTGCTGTGAGACCCTAGGCAAGTCATTTAAATTCAATATGCCTGTAATAAAAATGAGCATATTATATAAAAGAACACTTCAAGATCCTTAACTAGTGTGTAAATGCAAATTACGAGTAGCAATTCTCATTAACATTAGTAAAGATGGTCATTATATGTTCAAGGAGTTTGATAGGGGATTAATCCTCTAGGTAACATGACTGCCTGCAGGACCCAGGAATTACAGCTGGTGACCCAGAAGTTTCTTTTCTATGTTTCCAAAAAGAAAATATGTTAAATGTGAGAAATTCTAAAATACACCGCAATCCTCCTTTTTCTTTTAATTCCAGCCTGCAAACTCCGTGAACCAGTGGGGCAATATCATAGTTCAATAATAACAGTGATCTTCTAACAGAGTGCTTTGCAGGCATTTTGGAAACTTTAGCCAACACGTCAGTTTCACCTTCCTAGTGCTCCTTCAAAGTACACACAGTTTTAAATGAGATACCTCTAGTGTTTCCTACCCAAATGAATTCTGGTTATAAGCAATCCTATTCTGGTGGTTGCTTTGCTGCACCCAGTGAACTTTGCTGGGTGTGTCAGCAGGTAAATACCATGTATTTATTGACCTCTCCTTTGTCATGTTCTGAAACTACACCACAAGAATCATTGCCTCAGTTCCTGAGCTCTCTGAAATATTCCCTAGTTTCTTAGCTTCACACTCACCTTCTGCCTGAATATCACATTTTACTTCAGTCTCCAACTGTTCATTAAGCAACATATTCTCCAGTGCATGTTCCCTTTTTTTATGGCCTTTTCTCCTTTCTGTAGACTGCTGCCCTCCTTATCTTCTTCTTCTCTTCACTATTCTGGAAGTATAAATGTCAGTGAAAAGGTGTCACTGAACTTTCTCCATCAGTATTTCTTGAGTGGTTATGTATTGTCCAACTAAAAGATTACTTTTAATGCCAGCATTCAGCGCATTAATTGAGAGATAAGCCTTAACACTGATTTCTGCTGACCTCCTTACAAGCTGCTCTCATCAACAGATATAGCAGCTATGACACAAAACCTGAGTTTGTGTTAGTCGCTAAATCATAATTCAAATTCCGCAGAAACCAACAGACTTATTTCCACTGACTTCAGCTTAAGCATTAAATCCAGCAGCATCTTTTCCTGTTCTCACTGTGTTATTATGCAGTACCTCATCAAGTGACTGACTTTGCTCACTGCCTCACAGAACAAGGAGCAACTACTGTCCTATGCAACCATTCATTCCTTTTATGTATTTAATTGTATTTGTTAGCATATCAAACAGCTAACTCATTGGTAATGAAAACAGGCAAATGATCAGCTGTATTTTGAGTATTTTGTAGAATCCAAGAGTGTGGTTTTTAATGTGTCCTTTCAGAGAGTATTCCCATTTTGCATGTCTCTTCTCCTGTTTGCCTTGCTGTTATCAGTGGTGTTAGGAGGCCACAATTTGGCTTTTTGTGATGGGAAACAGGAAATAGCCAAAAGTCATAAAATCTGTTGTCCAGTTGTCCTGAAATTTTGGATTTCACAGCATCCAAGAGAGTTTCAAAACAAATCAGATGTCTTTATGAGCTGGCATCCAAACCACTGACGTTTCTGCCTTGCTCATCAGGGCTCCCAGGGGACCTGGTGTCCCTCAGCCTGGGCCTCAGGTGGACAGACAGACACTTTCTCTTGCTGACTAGGGGAGATTCAATGTAAAATGTCAAAAGAGGCACAATAAGAGGAACTACCTAAAGGAGGGCAGAGCTGGGTGGGGGTTGGCCTTTTCTCCCAAGCAACCAGTGACAGGACAAGAGGACATGGTCTCAAGCAGTGCCAGGGTGGTCCCAGCTGGACATCAGGAAGAATTCCTTCCCTGACAGGGTGGTTAAGCACTGGAATAGACTGCTGAGGTAGGTGGTGGAGTCACCAACCCTGGAAGTGTTCAAGAAACAATTGGATGTGGCACTTAGTAATGTGGTTTAGTTGGCATGGTGATGGTCAGTCAAAGGTTGGACTTGATGATCTTGGAAATCTTTTCCAACCTTAATGATTCTGTGACTCTGTGATTCTGTATCGTCCAGTTTGTCCTGAGAGGTGCTGTCTACACAGGAGGCTTCCTGAACCACCAGGAAATGCACAGCATGGATGCAAAACCCTGTCACCTTGATCTCTTCTGACTCAGGTGAAACAAAGGGCTACAAGAATAGCAAAGCCAGAAACTGATAAACTCCCTGGGTCATCTGCAATCCAGCTTGCTTCTTCAGCTGCCTCTCACTATGAAAACACTTACTGAAAACACATTATGAAATTCTGAGGAGTTTACAATACCAGTGTTTTCTTAAAAGAACATTGCTGTGACTCTGACTTTCTTTCCTGTGATGGCTGCACAATGTGTTTGGGCTAACTGCAAAACTATATACAAAAGGTAAACAAAGGCATATTACAATTTACACCAGAAAAAAAAACATTTAATCTCATCATTTAAAAGCAAGATAATTGAGATCATGCCTTCTTTACTGCCATCAGCAGTGCATCAATCCACTTCTGTGAGTCTCATACAGGTACAATAGTGACTGGGAGATGTGTGCACTTGCCAATGTATGATGAAGAGAAGGTAGTTAGCTGAGATAACCCAAGAATCACCTGAAATGATCACAAGATTGGCACATCAACCTGCCAGTTCTTTCTCAACCAGATGTTTGATCTGTGCTAGGCACTGAAGTACAAGATAATGACGGCCAGAGACTGGGCACACAGTGTTGATTGGAGTAGCTAAGATAGGAGCCTGGAGTTATACTAAACTCATGGCAGACATAAAGAGAATCGAGAGAATGGAAATTACAACTCTTCACTGTACCTTGTAGAAGTCACTAAATATTACTCCTTATTTCCTGGCATAGTTTGTCTGAACTCATATTCTCCAACAAATAAAATGCAATTTCTTCAAATATAAGCTTTCATGGAAGTCTGACAATTGTTTCTTCCCACTTTGGAAGCTCATGTTCTTACATTCCAATACAGGAGGCAGCATGAGAGGGCACTGACCTAACCAGGACTAATGAATCTGCTCTGGTGGAAATTCATCCACACACTCCCAGGCTTTCCAAATGCAGTGTGTTCAGTTCAGGAGATCAATGTGGCCCCCAGCTGCATCTGACCAGCTTGCAATTCTTTTTATAATCTTGTAGTTCTTCTAACCTGTTTTAGTCTAAATGGCATTCTTACTTCTGTAGAGCAATAACATTAATTAATACTGCCATAACAAATTAGTAAAAGAGGGGAGCCTGGATTTCAAATGAACCTAAATTAGAAAAGAATAGGTGTGAAAATTGCATTCACTGTGCTTTGAAATGGCTTAATGCTGCTGCTGCTTGTTCATATCCAGAGCCTCCAGAGCAGGGGTTGTCTGTTTATTTTAAAAAAACCTCATTGTGTTTTGTGTGTGTATCATCAAAAAGGAGCAGGGTTTCTCTCTTTGGCAAATACAGCTAACCTTTTGGATCCAGTTAAATCCCCTATTTGCCAAAAGATTCATCTGCAGGCTAAAGCAACCTCAATCCCACATGCAGTGATTCTTTACTTTGAGCAAGTCAAGGATTCCTGCCAGTTAACTTCAGTGCACCTTGGTGAGACAGTGGAATCATCATGGGAAGAACAGCCACCATGTCAGGGAAAGCCACATACCCCACACTTCTCACCCACTCCCCTCCAGAAACCTGTTTTCCTGTGTTGCAAAGCTGGTTAATTTTCGTGCAGTGTCAGTTGTTCCAGCCTCCTTAACTTTATTTCTCTCACTGTCCTCATTCACCAAGTTCCTGACAGCTGTGGCCTCTCACCCGTGTCACGGTTAAGCCAGGACTGAGGCTGGCAGTGATATATTTGACTCCAGTGTGAAGAGCAGCAGCACATGGAGCAGGCATTGAGCTTCAAGAAGCTGTTCCAACAGGTTTCTGTGAAGAGCTTTGTCTGGTTAACTGAGCAAGTACACAGTTTTATAA